TATTCAAAATACAGTAAAGGGTTGTCCTGCGACAGTTTGGAATCTTTGAATCCTCTTCCCATATAGTTGAAGATAATGTTTTTTGATTCTTGCAGTTGCATATTGAAACCCTGTTACCTGTTTCAAGCTTTTTATGTTTGTCAAAACCTTGAATCTCAGCCATGCGGTTCAGCAAATAGTAAATTGCCAGCAGACTAAATATCAGTGTTGAACGTTAGGGCTAATTTCCAACAAACAATTGAAACTCTTTGTTCCACTCCTAGAGTGCTTCTTCTGTATGCAATGATGTGGTGCTGTTATCTAACAGGTGTTTTCAATATAGCTTGGCAAGAAAATGAATCTCTTGCCTCCATTAGAGGGATCTTGCATTCAGTTTTAATGCAGTGTTGTTAGGGTATGGATTGTCTTGTTGAGTTAGCTGTTCTCAAGCTTAAGAACTTTGGTGGAAAGCCTGCGGCAGTGGCTTTCCTGGAACTACCAGCTGTCAAATGAACAAGGAACTGTGTTAATTGTAGCATGGAGAATGAAGTTTGTATGGAATCAAAATGTTACTTTTGTTGCTTTCTTTTTAAATGTCCAGAAAAAAAACCAACAAATATGGGAGGTAGATTGCATTTGAGTGCAATGGTATGGAAACTGCTTATGAAACTTACCAATCATTTGGAAATTAGAGAAGAAAGTCAATTGAGACAGAGCTTGAAATGTATCTTTAAGCCTATTATTTTGTTGATTACCTGCTGTAAAGGTCATTCTGACCAAAGGCCGGAAAACGCTGCTTGCATAGCATTAATGTCTCTCAGAGTGTCTGTTGAAACACCCTGTCCTTGAGGTCAGAACCTGGCTCCCCCGAATCCCTGCACACCCCCCCAAAAAATCCAACTTATTCAAGTTTATTGACTACCTTTTTTAAATATGGTCAGAGTTGGTTTCTGAAGCCTTCGGAATGTGCACTCCAGTGACTGTTTTTGTTCCCAACACTTTCTATTACTAAATAATTACCTTTGTGGTACATTTTTCAGTGCATGACTTGTGAACTAATCTTTTATAGTATCTTTACGGTGCAGAACTTTCCTTGTCAAGAAGTTGAAAGGCATAACAAGCCAGAGGTTGAACTAAAGTATGTTCTATGTATTGCTGTCAGAGTTTTATTACGATTATTTTCTTGTGTAGTTCATGTAGAATTTGATGCTGTTCTTTTGTATCTCCTGACAAAGTCATGCATGTACAGTTGAATTTTGATTCTTGCGTGCTTTGATTTTTTACTGATGCATCAGTGAATACTAGTATTTTCCGGGATAATCTGATAAACTTGAAACTAGAGTTCATAAAACAATATAATGGAGGTTTTTGATATTTCTGTGGCTTCTTTCAACCTGATAGTTATAGTGTTAAAGGCCATAACACTTCAGACCCATTGGTGAAGCTGGTGACATTGTAGGATTCACAGCTGGGTAAGAGTTGTACTGTAACAATCTAGGATTCACAATGATTTGCCCTTTTGGCTCTTTTAGATGGTCATTACTTTATTATCTCATAGAAACTAATTTACAAAAATTCTAAGTGCATAAATGTCTATAAAAAAATCTATTATCTTAAGTGAATTTTACTGTGGATGAATGGATGGAAAAGGATCATACTAAACCAAGAGCTTAACATCCGAAGGGTACACTTACTTCTATGCCTTTACATCATTAAATTTGCTATAAAATATATCTGAAAGCAAGTAGAGAACTTTTGCCTTTGAATTACAAAATGTTGTTGTAACTATTTACTAACTAAAACGAATAATTGTAGCGTTTGTATGTGGTCTGTGTAACCTGACTCATATTGTGTATGTGCCACACCACACATTCTTATAATTCCATTTATCAAACGGTGCCATGTTATTAGGTAACAAGGTATCGGGGGGAGCTTGCTTATAGAAAGAAGATAGGCCGATCAAACAACAACAACGCGCAACGGGCTCTCTGCTCTTAGTCACTAAGTAGTGCTATTCTGTCCTCCGGGGACTCCACCTAGATTTTCTTTCTATCACGTAGTTTCGTCCGTCCCTTTCATTTTCGTGCCAAAGGAAATGGGATTTGAACCCATGATACAATCTTCTTGTATGCCGATTTAGCAAACCAGCGGCTTAAGTCACTCCATACCTCCAAGTTGTTGATCGGAATGGAATTGGATGTGCCGGGTTTGGTTGGTTGCCGAAGGGCTATCTGCGGTGTAATATTATTTGTATTAGTGGTCCTTATAAATCGTATTAACAATCGAAAGATGGTCGAAAGAAAAAATCTCTATTTAATTGGGCTTGTTTCTATACCTATGAATTCCATTGGACCCAAAAATGATACATTGTAAGAATCCGTTGGGTCTTCCAATATCAATAGACTGATTGATTCGCTCCCGTATCAGCTTACGGGATTCTAATGACTGAAGTTTTTATGGCTTCAAATACTTATGAAAACAAATGAGGTATGAAGTCCACAATATTAAACTACAAATGAAAACATAGTTACATATTGATACATTTTCAGAATATGTGTCCTCGGATATCACCCTTTTCTAAATATGATATGCACAGTGTCCATTTTGACTACATCCTTTTTAGGATCTAGTAGGCTACTAGATGTAGTTGATTTTGATATTTCTGACATCGACACCATGTGTAGGTATAGGATATGGGATAAGTGGTGTGTAAATTTAATATTTTCTTTTGTAATTTTCAGGACCAGCCCAGAACTTCTGCTGAATCCTGTAAGAATCATTTTACTTTTATTTTGTCTACTACTATTTGTTCCATTTTTAATGATTTTTATTCTAGTTGATAATTTTCTCTTTATACAACTTATAATTTGTAGATCTATGTTGTGGTATTAGTTTGGTAAAAGAGTTTGATAGAGAAAGAGTTATAATTTGTATGGCCCCCCTGAAAACTGTTATCAATTAGGAGCTTAGCTATGTCTGAGCTATGTAGATCCTGCTAATCAGGAGGATGTAATTTTGTTCTAAGACCCAGATTTGAAAAGAAAAAGTGAAAAAGAAAAACTGGAACAGCTGTAAGGGGAGAACACAATATGGTGAAAAGGTTTCCTTTTAGTTTTTTCTGCCAGAAAAGGAATAAACACCAAACAAATATCAGTAAAAACCTGAAAGATGGTTAGATATTTACTCAATCCTATCAGACATCCACTATATCTATGTCAATCTTATGACTGTAATGATGATAACTGAAACCACAAGTGACTGAGATAACTTTGAGTTTCGGAAATGCGAATGATAAACTCTACTGCTGCAAAGTTGTCCCGGTAAAATGCTACAGTACTTTATTATAAATTTGACCTAAAATGGATGATCCAACTTCAATTCCTCATGTTGGAGAAACTTGCCTAGATGAAATTAATGGGGCATATACTTACTCTACAATATTGGGTCTCTTTGAATTCCCACGTTCGTCATTGTTTGTGGATTTCTCAAAACTTTGCTTGCTTGGTCTTCTGCCTTCAGGCCAATCCTGCATTAGAATAATAGCATCTCCCTAACTAGTACATGAGCCTTGATGGCCTCTTCACTCATTGTTAATGCGTTTTGAATTGGACACCTTAACATTCCCAAATCCCAACACAACCATTGGAACCGAGTTTTCTTAGATTGTGCTAGCTAAGGTTAAATTTTGTGAACTTCAGTTTTTCATAAGCTCTATGATATCACTCTTTGATCGATCGAAATTGACTTTTAAATTTCTGTTTGTAGCCCCATCCTTGCTTTAAAAATTCGAACCTTTTTATTTTTTATTTCATTTTTTTTTTTACCTTTTTGAATGGAGCTATTATACCGTGATCTAGTACATTATTGTCTATGAAGCATGGATACTTCGCTTAATGGGACCTATCTGTATCCGATATGTATCAGATGACAACACTCGCTGCATACACGATGATAAAAATTAAATACATTCCGTACATATCGAATAATTACTAAAATACTTTCAATCTTGGATTCATATAGGATACACCTCGGATATGCTTATCTTCAGGACAAATACATGTTCATTGTACTTAGGAGGTTGATTGTGTTGATTTGAACTAGTCTTTGTGCTTATTGGTCTGGTGGTTTAAATTTGTGATCACTATATATTAAGAGAGGATTGCAGCTGGTTGCAGACCTCCCAGGGAGATTTGCTTTGATTGAATAGATAAGTGAGTTCACTCGCCTTGGGGAGAGTGATATTAAGCTGAAACTTTGAGAATGGTTTACAGCTTACTTGAGTTGAATAATCAGATGCTATGGTTTACATTGAAACCAATGAGCCCTATGGATCCCTTGGATGTGTACCACCCAGCCCCTTATGTGAGCTACATATGTTGTTTTGGTTTAGGATGTGTACCACCCAGCCCCTTATGTGAGCATCCCTTAGTATTATTATACTATCATATGCTTTGGTGGCTATATTACATTTTTAGTCCTAACCATATCCGTTTTTAAGATTTTATCGTATCATTTGTATCGTGTCATATTAGTACTTCCTAGATTATTGCACTTGATTGTTGCATTTGAGTCTCACTGAATGCTTAACAAAGTCACTGTGTGGTTGCATCTTATGTGGCATACATCTTCAGAGCTCATCTTGCATGGATAAGCTTTAACAGAAACATGAATCTGAACCAGCAAACAGTAGCTCATCTTCTTTAGTCTGAGTTTCCGGGAAAAAAAAAGTTCTCTTCTTCAGCCTGACTCAATATGTTAATTTCAGAGAATGGTTTAGCTGTCTCTCTCTTTTGTTTTAATACCTTTAGTACTTTATTTTTTGTTTTGCTTAATATCCTCACCTGCCCCAACACAAGAAAAGTATTGGCATATCTTATGCCATAACGTTTGTATTCAAGTATGGTTGATTTTCTTGATCGCATCCGTGGAAGTAATGGATCATGGAAAATGTCTTCTTNTGTAGACAAAAAAAGGTGATGAAGAAGAATGACTTGAATCTTTATGAAAATTGCTAACACCATATGGAGATGAAGTCGAAGGAGAAAGAGGAGGTTAGTATGTCAAAACACCATCTTTCAGTTTGATTTGATGTTGAATCCAAGAACTTTTCAAATGGGCATGCTCAGATAACCATCTTTGCTCTCTAATTTCTGACATTGAACAGATCATTTGGGTACACTCAGATTAGACCCAACTCATATTTTGAAATGGCCCAGAGAGAGTAGAAATGGCCGATGATGCAATTGATTCGACGCGCACTACAGAGGGGGAAGAAGGGTGGGGGGAATACCTAGCTATAGAAGTGGCAATGGCGGTGGTTGGCTGTAGCGGTGGCAATGGCTCTGGTTGCAGCGGAGTCGGTGGTTGGGGTTTTGATGGTGGTAACAGAGACAGAGACAGAGAGAAAGGACCGAAGAGGAAATGAAGAGGAAGATTAAAAAAAAAAAAACTGAAGGCAAAGGATTAGAGGAAAAGAAGGGAGGTGATGGGTGCAGGTGAGGGGTAATGAGTCAGGCGGCTGTGTGTAGGTGAGGCAGTGTAACGTTAAATGAGAAGTGATTGGTGTGATAAGATGATTTTGGGGGGAAAAATATAAGGGGTATAAAATTTCAAACTCCCTTCTATTTTATTATATAGACATATATTATATATATATATATATATATATTTTTTTTTTTTTGGGAGGGGGAGGGGGATTTGAACTCTTGACCTCAAGAAGACAAAACCTTCACAAAGTAAGGAGTACCATTAGACTTTCTATAAATCTCTATTTGTCTTCATAAATTCCTACATACAGACAACTATATGTATACTTATGAGCATATAGCCATATATATGTATGCTAGTATGATAGATAGATAGGTGGATAGAGCCAAGCATTTGCGCTTGAGAAACCATCTCATATAACTTACATGCCTTTCTTTTTTTCCAAAAAAACATAAGATATAACTTCTGTATTGCACATAATGTTATTTAACTTTTTTTAACACTGTAATATAACTTACATAGTGCACTTGAATGTAATGGTGACGTATTACGTTTTGCGTGATAAAACTACCTTTTGTTCTCCACCCATCATTGTGTGGGCTATCAATGAATACGTATCCTTATGTCAATGTCTTAGAGTTTCTCCATGGAATGAACTTCAATAGAGATAATGATCTCATTGGTTTGACTTATTAGAAGAAATGTATGCTAAGGGAGACATTCTTATTAATTCTTTTATCAGTATAGTACAACAAGAAGATTTCAGAAGGATAGTGTTTTGAGCCCCCACCTTCCCATCTGATTGTAGAGTATGCAGTTCATGAATTTCATACAATTTATAGCTTATGGAAACATGGCATAGAGATTACAAAGGTCAGCCACACGCTTGAAATTAATCTGGTTGCCTTGTCCTTGATCTCATAGAAGAAGTGCCAATTGAATAATCGTGCAATTTAAAATCATTCTCATTGAAACATGGCAAATGCATTCAAACAAAGAGAGAAATAATTCAGATTTGTCATCCAGACTTGTTGCGATGTCTGAAACTTTTCTTGTTGAAATCTGGTCTGCTTATTCAACTAACAATTAGGGCTGTAAAACAATAAAAATCTGAGACTTATCCTGCCATTGAGGAAGATGACCAACTTTGCGTTGTCTCTGTGTTTGCTAAGGCTTGTTGTTATTAAAAGAAGTTCATTACCCAGTTTTTTCTTGGTAATTGAGGGTGATAAGAAGAATTGATTGCCGTTGCACATTCTCTTGCTTATCAGCCTAAGCTTTTATCATGGCGGGCTTTGTTAAAGGATCTTTTTATCCTCAGCAATGCATAAAGTTTCCTTTTCTTTCTTTTTTTGTGCATTTTCCTATTGGATGAACTGTTTCACACATAGAATCATATAGTATAAACTCCAAGTACAAAAACATTCCTTTTCACTTGTATGCATATTCTTTTCTTGCCGTGTAGGTAAAGCAAGCAGATGAACTTGAAAACATACTAACAAAGAAATTTCTTAGATTTTTGTCAATGAGGGCAGAAGCGTTCCAGGTATTGAGGAGAAAGCCAGTACAGGTAAATATTGTCTCCCCTTGATCTCTTGATGTTATAATTTCCTCTCAAAATTCACGTGGCTTGACAAATTTCCGATGCTTAATGATTCACAAAATGTGCCTTTAAGGAATCGATTACCCCATGTTCTAAAAGGGTATGCATATTTTCTCATCCTCTATGACGGGATTTTAATTTTTTTGTTTTATTACTTTATTCTTATTTTTACTTTCGTATTTTTGAAGGACTTCTTATCCCTCATTCAAGTCCTTTTCATTATCAATGAAAAGCTTTTGTTGATTATCAAGAAAACCAAATTCACTAAAATATCCTTATCAAATACTTAATGACATTACTATCATGTAATAACCCAAAAGAAATAAATGTCCCTTAATATATTTAATTTCACTTAATGACACTGCTGCCCTTTAGTAATTCAGAATGACATAAATATCCCACCATACCTAAGAATGTCACCTAGTAATACTACTACCCTTTAATAATTTAATAAACATAAATATCTTCTCATTTATTTATATTTATATTTCCTATAAATATAATTATAACAAAACTAAAATGAGATTACAAAAAAACATTAATAGTGAAATAATAGCTACAAAATGTGAGGATGTTTGAAAAAACTTATTCATTTTACTATCCTTCATGTTAGGGGAAGCCCTTGTAATTAAGCCCTAACCTCATGTGAAAGTGTAATTTTCTATTTAATTTTTAAGCCTCACTCTAAATAATCAATCCCAAGTCCCAACCAAAAAATTTTAAATTAAAATGTGGACTATTTATTTTTATCTTTTTTCTTATTCATAGATTTACCTTGTAAACCGTTTTTTAATTATGTGGCATGATATTGATTATACAGGTATCAATTTAACTAATGTGAGATGACATTTACCTTCTTACACACAAGGATCAAATTTTCGTTTTCTTGCATAGTTTCGGCCACCTAGGGAACGTAAATGTTCCGGAAAAAGAATGGAAATGGAGGGAAAAAAAAATTATTTCTAAAACATCAGTCGAAAAACTTCGAAACATATCCAAACATAAGAATTCGACAATTAGTCATTGATTCGTTTTGATTTCCATGGAAAGAAAAGCATTTTGACCATTTTGATTGCTTTGAAACGAAATTTAGATCTTTGTTACACATGTTTTATTGTTTTTCCTAATTTTTTTTGACGTAAAACTTGCATGTTGCACTACTACTGTACTACAGTACTACTAGTAAGCTAAAGAATTTTAAACTTGGTTGTACATTGGAGCTCATGTTCTTGATTTTGTATATATATATATATATATATATGCTTTTTTGCTCCCCTTCCGTCTTTGCTCAGGGTTTGCAGTTTGGGAATTTTATATAAGTGACTTTATGCTACCTTTTCCAGCTGGGCAGCTTAGCAATATCAGGGATGAGCACCATTTATTATTTCGGCCCCTTATTTTGTTTTAGAAAGTCTACCCTTGGTAACTATTGGAATACATGTGGGATGGAATTGGAAAGGCATACCTTTGATTATGCCAAAAATATAATGGNTAACTATTGGAATACATGTGGGATGGAATTGGAAAGGCATACCTTTGATTATGCCAAAAATATAATGGCACTTAAAGGTTTGAAACCATGAAAATGACTTTATATATTATTTTTAAGCACCATTTTTTTCTCTTTTGCTTTTGAAACCATGAGAATGTGTCTTTGGCTATTTCACTTTTCAGGGTTATGACATTAGTTTTCTTATTACCAATTATCACTGTGAGGAGATGCAGAAGCACAAGCTTATAGACTTTATCGTGCAATTCATGGAGGTAATTAAGTCTATCGAATATTAAGACATGCTTTTGCCTTTTGTTTGCACTTGTCTACTGGTCGATGATGCATTTTTTATTTTCAAATTGCATCAGTTATTGGTTAGCAAATGATGAGAATAAATTCCCAACAGTTTAACATAAAGTTTTTGCTGACTTAACCTTTTGAGTTTTTAATAGCACATTTACACCCATATTTATATTTCTTGTACTTCCATCTCATGTGAATTTTGTTTTTTCGCAACTACCCAAAGTGTTTTACTAGATTACATGGGTTCTCCAGCTTGGCAGAGGATATCTTTTATCACAAGAGGAGGGGCAAAAGGGGTGAGGCTCACCTTAAATATTCAATCACAGAAAGCCAAACAAATTATTGAAAAAGAAACCATAGTGGAAGGTATAGGCTTTTTTTTTTTTTTGATCAGAGAAGGTATAGGCTATTAACCAGCCATTGTACATCAACCTTCTGCCAATCTCTCTCAAACCGTCCAAAATTCAGACTTGTTCAGGGATGCTGTCTTCAGCTGTAATTATTATAACATAGACATGTACTCATTAGCCTAATAATTCTAGTATTTTACTCTTTACAAATCTGAGTAACTCCATTGAAAGGACTCAAGCTGCCAACCTTGGAGCAGATCCCAGAAAAATCTGGTAAAACCCAAGACACTAAACCAAGTATTCACTAACTAGCACTAATCACAATGAAATGAGGAGATGATCCACTGACTCTATGAAACATAGCCATTGCTAAGCAATTAAAGACAGTAAATTGTCTGTTGGGGTGGTCCAGTGTCAGAATCCTAGCCAATCTTGCTACCCAAATATACTATTCTTTTATTCTCAATAATTGAGATCAAACATTAGGAAGTGGAGAAGACCCATCAAATGAAAGTGGATAATGGATGTGAAGGAGAGGATTCTAACTTACAAGCTCCCTTCTTAATCATGAGACCAACACTCCCAAAGGACTTACTGGGAGAGACTCTAGACAATGCATGGCACCAACAAATTTTCCAGTCAGTCAATTCCTCATGATAAATTTTCTCCTGAAGACTCATACTGAGCTGTGTAAGACTGAATTTCCAACTTCATAAAAATACAGTGGGAGTCTCCAGACCATCACTCACTCACTCACAAAGGGCACAACTAACCTGAATTGTTTAGTCTTCTACACATTCTGACTTTGATAATGATATTCTGATAATCGTAATACTGCATAATGATAATGGGTCTTAAGAAAAAGGGCCAATTATTACTTTCCAACAGCCTCATCAATGGAGACGGTGGTGTCTCTCTCTCGATAATGAACAGACAAAAAGAAATGACCCTGTAAAATCAAGGGAGACACTGCCCATGTACAGACTGGCCATTTTTGTAACTGATATATTGTGTTTACTGCCTTTGCCCCCTATGTATTGATTCTCTGTAATATCATGGACCAATTGTTGGCTACTGAAATACATGGCTAGTGAGAAAGGAGAAAGCTAGTATCTGATATGTATTATTCACAATTATGGATTTATACGCCAACATGTTGATTGTGAATTGATCCGGCCTAAGGCACTCTGCTGTTGGAATGCAATTTATATTGGGTAAAATGAATCATAACATTCCTGAAAGTGTTTTTTATCTCTCTTTGCAAAAATACCTGCAGAATTGATAGTACGACAAGGATGAGGCCCAGCTTTGAGTCTGTTTTTGTTGTTGATGTCTTACAATATGAATGATATGGTGGTTTTGATTCAGGAAGTATACTTATTTTACAATTATCTTTAAAGTCATCAACGGCTGCACAAGATAATTAGTATTCGCTTCCAAAGAAAAGAAATAAGTAGTGTTCAGAGAAGCATATCTGATTGGATATCTCCACAACTGTTATTGGCATCAAATAGGCTAGAAACACCTAGTCTGTAACTTATTTTCGAAGAAACTTAGCTGATGGATGTATGCACATTTGTTGGTACATGAGTCATCAGGGACTATACATCAGAGAACAGGTTTGAGAAAAAATGTCATTGGAGATTATTTTGACCATCTATTCTTCAAACAGGCCTTTTATGAATGAGAGTTTTCTCACCAAAATCTTAATCGAATATTTGATGTCATCTGTTCTCTAAATTCTTTGATCGTTTATATCCAAGTGAGGATCAAACATTGATCTTTTCTTTCGTTGAGAGTCGGATGTATCCACCATGGTGCTTATACAGTTATCATAGTCAAAGTACATTCTTGTTGAAATCTGCATTGGTATATTTGTTTTGGTTATGTCATCATCTTTCAGCTGAGACTGTTTGGTTCCATCGTTTATCGAATGGCAGGACATTGATAAAGAGATAAGCGAGTTGAAACTGTCTGTCAACACACGAGGAAGGCTCGTTGCTACAGAATTTATGAAACAATTCATCTGAGAGTTTTAGTTGCTGAATTTCTACAACTTGGTTCTTGGGGATCTTGTCCGACCATCTTTATTAAGGTTTGCCCGTGGCGAAGAGATGAGCCGCGTTGATTGTTTCATGCTGTCTCATTAACATCGTAATCCCTAGTGGCTTACCTTTTGTTTGTCCAGTAAGCTAACAATATGTTAGCATATTTCTTCTCCACACACTGTATTTTACCATTGTTTTAAGATTCAAGAAATAGCATTGTGTTTGTAAGATTCAATGAGTACCAGTCGATAATGGAGGCTGCTGTTCGTATTTTAGTGGCCCCGGGTCAGTTGCGGAGAGCAATCTTGTTGTGTTGTACCATGTTCGGGATGTGTTATTTTGAATTTGTGTCATGTTTTAGTTGTATTACTTCTTGTAGTGCGTGTTTGGATCAACTAGTATAATTTGTGAACTGGAAACCGAAGACAAGAATCTCATTCTCTCTCAACAGCATCCATTAATATATAAATTTTTATGAATTGAAAAATCTTCTAATTCACATCCCAGCAAAATCATTTAGTTAGCAAAAATAAAAAAATCATATCATTTTTTTCCATGCCAAATCACTTAAACGAGTTTGTCGTTATCAAAATGGAATTAATTCGTGTTTATTATTAATCTAAAAAGTCGTGTCATTTTTGAATTTATATTGGACAACAGATCATGACGAAAATTACCACCTCCATTGTTTTAACCCCAGCTATGATAGATGGAAGGATAAAATGGGTCCTACTCATGGCAGGGCTTGTTCTTCTCCATATTTTTTTACACAATTCACTCAACGAGAGATCATCCATTATGTATGAATGAGGGGTCTATATATAAATAATGGGTCTCATGTAAATACATAATGAATGATCTATCATTGTAATGGAGCCATAGTTGATTTTCCTACATGGTAATAAAACAAATGAAATGGAGGCCAAAAACAGGGGCCTTTTCTAGAGTAAAACGATCAATAGTCGAGTTCCATTAGCAAACTAGGATTCAACCTAGGTGAGCCTATTTGAACCGATTTTGAAAATATTTAATACTTGAATAGAGATTTTTAACTTAAATTTATGCAATACTCGAGTTGGGATACTGATTATGTTTAAGATTTGACTTTAACCCAATCTGAATTCATTAAACGGGTACAACTCGAATTGATATTAAATTCAATATTATTTGTGTAACCATTTAATTCAAAGTTAATTGAATTTAAGTTTGAGTTGTAAAATCTGAATTCTGAAATTTAAGCACGGGTTATACTTGAATTGTATAATTTCGGTTAAAAGTCAGGTTCAAGTTGACATTTTATAATTTGAATTAAACCTTAATCAATCTCTCAATCCCCCCCTCCTAAGTTGCACCCCAACAACCAATGGACCTCGAAAACCAAGTACTAGTTGAGCTTTACACCCTCCTCACCATAAGGTATGTGTAGATGGGGAGTTAAAAGAGGTTGACACACATGTCTATGCTAAGTGTAATCGAAGGGGGTGAGTAGGATAAGTGGATGGAATGGAAGGAACTCAAGCAACTTGTTAATGGAAGGGACAAATCAGTTGGGCAGAGGGTAGGTGAAATATGCTCTCACTAGCCAGAAAAATCATCTTCTGCAGTGGGCAAGTAATGTGGGTATTTATAGCATAGTGCTCGGGTAGGTCGGGTAACCCAAAAGGCTGCCCGCCGCGACCCTCTCGCGCTAACCCACAACTGCCTCGATCGCGACGACACCAATGACCGTTAACGGCGAGCCATGCGTCCCAACATTAACTAGGCAGATGTGATGTTTTTTCAAATGCAACCTGGACGTGATCCCAAGGAAGGTGTGACAGCCAAGGTGAGAGAGAGCTCCCAAGGTCCATGATCGTGACTGGTTACCGTAGGACCATGATCCCGAGAGGACCATGCCTACGATGCCCCCAACGCGCTCCTACCCGTGGTCCTTTTTCTTCCTCTCTAGACCCTTAGTCAAGACTTTTGTCGAGATGCCTGATAGAGGAAACCCACATAATTTTGATCCTTCAACCGCCAATCCACATGTCTCATCATCCCATATGCTGATCCGGATCAATAATCTCAGTTACCTTAGGAGTCTCTCTGGATCCCAGTCAAGCACATCCTAGCAAGCAATGAGCCATACACTGGGAGGCCTGCTTGAGCAGATTAAACCTTCAAGACCGTGTCCCAGGCCGAGGTTGACAATCTTGCTCATCCATCCCTATTGCTCAGTTCTCCCTTGAAGAGGGTCGTACTTTCGTGTCCCTAGGTGGGGACATCTCCTCTTAGTCTAGTGGGCAAGTCGAGCGACGACATTCAATCGGTTGAGGATATCATTCCCGTAACAAGGGAGGCGAGTCTTGCTGAGGTTTCCCCCACACTTCTACGATACCATTCCCGCAAAGGGGTGTTGCGGCCAGGGGCGTCGCGCCTAGGTTGGCCCATACTTATGCGATTCCACTTTTGTCCACNTATGCGATACCATTCCCGCAAAGGGGTGTTGCGGCCAGGGGCGTCGCGCCTAGGTTGGCCCATACTTATGCGATTCCACTTTTGTCCACCTTGGTGAAGAGTCCACTTTTCCACTTCCAATGCGATTGAGATGTATGTCACCCTATTGCGATGTTGTGCCTGAGAGCGTCGCACCCAGGGGGCGTCGCATCCAAGGGCGTCGCGCCAATGGGGTGTCGCGCCGTGGGGCGTTGTGCCCAAGAATGCTGCACTTGTTATTGTTGTCTATACCAGTCCAACTGAACTCTGTCGGGCTCCCTTTTCATGTCAACTAATAATTGTTGCTACTTGTCCTGTTATAGCGGAGACACGTGCTTTGAAATTTTTCGAGTATTACATTTGCCCCCTGCACGCGCCAGATCGCGGGAAGCGTTCTGCGCGCGCACATCATTTTCAATCTGCACTTGTTGTTTGACTGCAACTATTTGGCCGTGGTGCTGATGACTAAAATTTTTTGTAAAATTGGCCCAAAACTTCTGCCGTCATTTCTCTATTGCCAAAATATTGTCGTGGTTAATTCTCCCTGCATGCATGCAGCTTCTTTTGACGGACTTTGCATGCATAATGGTCACAAGGACTTATGTATTTTTGTCCTTGTGTAATTTTTTGAGGTGCATCTATGTATCCTTATACCACTGTGGATAGGAAACCTTGACTACTATTGAGCCAAAAAAATTGCCAATAAAATGACTCATTATTGCCCTAAAAAATCTTGACCTTCGACCGTCTCAAAAATCATAGTGAATCAGTACCTCAAAAAAGAACCCCCAACCATTAGCCACTGCGACTATACCAATGTTGAAGTTTTTTCCCCAACTCCTTGCCGAAATACTATAATGTCTTCATAAAATGTTGGGCCACCACTCATATATATATATATATATATCCATGGTTTTCAAATTGAACATATGGACATATTCTATTAAATCCCCATTTGCCTTATTTTTATAACTTCTTCAAATAGTGCACCATTTTTTCAAAGTGGTGGACCCCACTTTTTACACCTCATGAGTTTTAGTAACAAAGTTTTAAGAAACACATTTCAACTTCCAAAATGGTAGACCCCACCATTATTTATAACCTTCACTCTTTAAATAAAAACGTGGGCCCCACANAAAAAAGAACCCCCAACCATTAGCCACTGCGACTATACCAATGTTGAAGTTTTTTCCTCAACTCCTTGCCGAAATACTATAATGTCTTCATAAAATGTTGGGCCACCACTCATATATATACATATCCATGGTTTTCAAATTGAACATATGGACCCATATTCTATTAAATCCCCATTTGCCTTATTTTTATAACTTCTTCAAATAGTGCACCATTTTTTCAAAGTGATGGACCCCACTTTTTACACCTCATGAGTTTTAGTAACAAAGTTTTAAGAAACACATTTCAACTTTCAAAATGGTAGACCCCACCATTATTTATAACCTTCACTCTTTCAATAAAAATGTGGGCCCCACCNTCACTCTTTAAATAAAAACGTGGGCCCCACAAATAACTCATCTTTTCCATACCTTTTTACCACCACTAGCTTCATTCATATATTTTTTTTCAAAAAGTGTTGCACCTTTTTTTTTTAATTTTATTTCTCCATTTGATTTTTTTTTCTTAAACTCCTTGGGGNCCACCACTAGCTTCATTCATATATTTTTTTTCAAAAAGTGTTGCACCTTTTTTTTTTTAATTTTANAAAATGGTAGACCCCACCATTATTTATAACCTTCACTCTTTAAATAAAAACGTGGGCCCCACAAATAACTCATCTTTTCCATACCTTTTTACCACCACTAGCTTCATTCATATATTTTTTTTCAAAAAGTGTTGCACCTTTTTTTTTTAATTTTATTTCTCCATTTGATTTTTTTTTCTTAAACTCCTTGGGGCCACACATCACTGTATGTTTCTCCATTTTCTTTTTGTTTGACCAGTCCTTCCTTGCTTCACACATTTGCTGTAGGAGCTCGCTTATGACCCACCATGCTATAAGACATTATGGTAGTTCTTTGGATTTTTTTCTTTGACTATTTCTTTTTCATTGGCACCGAACTGGCGCTTGAAAAGGATAACTGTGAAGGGATGGTCAGTGCAATCAAGCTTTAATGTTACTGCTTTTAGACGTTGAACATTTGGTTTGTTTCTGACACAGNTGACCCACCATGCTATAAGACATTATGGTAGTTCTTTGGATTTTTTTCTTTGACTATTTCTTTTTCATTGGCACCGAACTGGCGCTTGAAAAGGATCACTGTGAAGGGATGGTCGGTGCAATCAAGCTTTAATGTTACTGTTTTTAGACGTTGAACATTTGGTTTGTTTCTGACACAGACGAGTCCTATCACTGTTACACATCTGATAGTCCCTCTTTACCAAAGGAGTAATTGACGGACGGCTGACTGGACATGGCAGACTGTTGCCCATCTGATGGTTGACTACAAGCTGTTGATGGTGAAGAGACTGAGGTGGACCTCACATACCAT